AAATATATAGACACTATTAATAAATTAAAACATTTCTCGATTTTATTGGCTTTTGTTGAGTGACATATACAACAGAAAAAAATTGTAACGTAAACATTGCATAAACATACCTCGTCATTGGATCGTTGAAGAAAAGGTATTGCAGTATAATTTCCTGCACAAAAGGAATGTGAATATACAGGATAAGAGGCCGTGTCAGTAACCATTGAGATTTACATGGAAAGTCAAAAATTTTGAATTGGGCAAAAACCACCCTAAAATATTTGAACAACAACAAAAAACACATTTGAGACAAATTTTACAAATTTATTCATCATCATTGGTTTCCATGGCAACAAATGTGATTTGCATAGTAAATTCTCAACGAAACATTGTAAAATAATACAAATTTAGACATATTTAAATGCAGAGGGGGGAACAATTGGAAGGTCTAAATTTGTTTTCTTATAATGAAATAATGAAAGATGCATCAGAAGAAAATAGCTTTATGTCTGTAAGTATTTTTAAAAATTTTGATATGGTTGCTATGGCAACCGAAAAATGACAAGATTTTCATGATGGGAATATCCGTGGAAAATTAAGTTTTTCAAAAGTTGAATACTTAAAAACGCAACAACCGTGGATATTGTATGTCATACAAAGTTAAAGATATATCCAAATACTATGAAATAATAAAATAAAAATTGGTAGTTGGATGTCCCAATTTTTTTTTTCAGAAATCAAAATTTGCATTTTTTTCAAAACACTTTCAATGAATTTTCGCAAGTTTTGGCAATTTTTTTTTAATATTACAACAGATATTTAACAGTTAGATGCCATATCTACAGAAACATAGTACTTTAAAAAAATCTCCATAAAATGTACGACTTTTTTACAAAACAATAGGAAAAGAAATCTCCATAGCAACGGAATTTATACCCTAGCAACTGACTTGACTAGGATCGGCAAAACATGAAACATACACCCAGGAAATTAAAGCCTCTCAAGTGGAATATTTGGGTCATGGCATCCTGATCAACTGTCAACCCTGTTGTACTTACCCCATCATATAAGTAATAATAAGTACCATTGCTCTACAATGTCTAATAGTTATACAATATAGTCAGAATGTGGACCAAATACGCAAAAACTTGACCATATATGACATAACAAAAGCCGAAGTTATATGTCAAAATGACGCAATGTTCAACCCAAAGGGACGCCAATGCTCTGTCTACTGGCTAATTTACATTGCTGTACCATGTTTATTATTCAAGTTATAAACCTAAAAACAACTAGAACTGTCCAAATGGGACAAAATACCCCCCGCTGGGTTTTTCAGAAGTGCTAAATCATGAATATTTTATGGATCTAAGAGAAGAGAGAAAAGCTAAAACATTTTAGTGCAAATGTAATTGCTCATTATTTTTTTTTTATAAATGAAACGAAGGTGCAGCCTAAAAAATAGACTGAATGTATGGATCACACATGAATTATGAATTTTTTTTGTCAGTGACCTTGAACTTGCATAAATGACCTTGGTTTAAAGTCATGACAAGTTCTCAGGTCAAAGCAATGTTTGTGTAAAATGGGAACCTTCCAAGTTTATCCTTAAGAAAGATATGGACCAGACATGAATTATAATTTTTTTACTGTCTGTGCACTTGAACTTGGACAATTGACCTTCGGTCAAAGTCATGACACACCCTTATGTCATAAGTGATCTTTGTGTAAACAAGAAAGTATCCAAGTTTATCAATAAGAATGATATGGACCAGGCACAAATTATGAAGTTTTTCCTTTCAGTGACATTAAACTGACACAAGGAACCTTGGGTCAAGGTCATGACACATCCTCAAGACAATAAGCGATTTTTGTGTAAAACAGGAACTTACCAAGTTTTTCCATAAGATAGATATGTACAAAACATGAATTAGGAACTTGTTGCTTTTATAACCTTGAACTTGCATAGATAACCTTGCATCAAGGTAATGATACATCCTAAGGTTATAAGGAATCTTTGTGTGAAATAGGAACTAACCAGTTTATCCATAAGCAATATATGGACCATGCACATATTAAGAAATTTTCCTTTCAGTGACCTTGAACTTAAATAAACTTTGATGAAGGTCATAAACCCTCTTTGTGTGAAGTAGTAGATTCAAGTTTATCCAAAATAAAGATATGTACCAAACATGAATTTTACAATTTTTCTTTTAGTGACCTTGAACATGCACAGATGACCTTGGGTCAAGGTCATGACACACCCTTAGGTCATGAGGAATCTTTTTGTAAAATGGGAACTTACCAAGTTAATCCATAAGAAAGATATGGAACGGACACAAATAATGAAATTTTTCTTCCAGTGACCTTGAACTTCCCCAAATGACCTTGAGTCAAGGTCATGACACACTCTTAGGTCATGAGCAATCTTTGTATGGAGTAGTAGATTCTAATGTTCCTCCGTAAGAAAGATATGGACCGTACATGTTTGCACAGCTAGACAGACGGACGGACGGATAGACAGACAGACAGACAAGCTGATTCCTATATACACCCCCCCCCCCAAACTTCGTTTACAGGGGGTATAATGAGAAGTCGTGTCTGTTAAACACAAGATGACCTTATACTTATTCAAATGAAAATAAACCTTAACATCAGCAAGGCTTGTGAAAATGTAGTTTACAGCAACTTTATATTTCAAGTTTTATCTTATTTTACTATCAAAGACCAATCAACTGGTCAAATATCAATGCTCACTAAAAGTATCACAGATATGAACGTAAAACAAGAGTTTTCCATTGAAAATGTGTGTCTCAGGAATGACATATCAAATTGTGACAGACAGATAGACTGATGGTCAGCTAGTCAGACTGACAGACAATGGAGAAGTGATCCCTAAGAGTCCCCTTGCTATGCAGGCGACACAACTAGGCACCATTACAGCATATCTTGTACCTGATTCTGAGACTGAATTTTTTCTGAAGTGTACAGTCAAATATTTTACAGAAATATTTTGCTAGAAATAATAAAATATCGTATAAGTGGAAATTTTAGCGAGATGCAAATTTAGCGATTTCTACCAAAGTCTGGTATTTTATTTTTAGCCAGAAGTAATTTTAGCGATTTTAAAATGTTTACTAAAGAAGCTATTACAAATAATAAGACATTAATTTTTAGCAATATTCAATTTTAGCGATGTCAGCACCCTCTCTAATAATGCCAAAATTAAATCCTCGCTAAAAATTCTACTTATACAGTATGTTCTTCAAAGTACATTTATGCACAGTAAACAAGAAGTACGACACATTTGATTTTAGATATTATCTATTTTAACCAACTAGAGCTAGAGCAGTATAATCCAAGTGTTGTCCACAGACAGATGGACAAACAAACAGGGTGATTCCTATATCCCCCTTCCAAAAACTTTGATATCAAAATCTTAAACTTAGTAAGAAAATGTTTTTTAGTTCACTGCTTTAAGAGCCATATCAGAAATCTGGTTCAAATTGTTCATGTTCCCTTCAGCTGTCAAGTCATTTTCTTCACAGTCAGTGTTAGACCTCTATCTTTTCACCAATGGCATCAAGATACATAATCAAGGTCTTCCTTCTATGTAATGGACAATCTTCATGCTCTTGAGAATCCTGGCATTCAGATGACTTTCACAAGGTGTTTGGAAAAGTTGTCGTCTGAAGTTGATTCCACCTACAAAAGAAAGATACAAAATCAATCCAACTAACAACTTCATTTAAAACAAGTTCATTTTGACACAAATGTTACTCATGCTGAGACAGTGTTTCACAGCCCTGAGCCAAAGTCACACCTTCAATGTCAAGGTCAAGGTAAAATTTGATGGAGTTTTCAGGTCTGTATTTCTATATGCCTCATGGAACAGCTTCATACTTGGCATACAATGCTCCTAATGATAAGGTGGTGTGCCATGACCCTAACTCAATGTCAAACTTCAATGCTAAGGTCACAGTAGACTTCAATGAAATTGTCTTATCTGAAATGCATTTCATACCTGCCTCAAAAGCACAGCTTACATGACACAAATGTGCCTCATAATATCAGTCTTTAACAACCTTTGACAGAAGACCAGGTGAGCAATATGGGCCCATTTTAGGCTTCTTGTCTGGGTTTAAAATATGAAGTTCATAGGTCAAATGGATTTAAGTTATTGAGTCACAATCCTTTCAAGTTTGAAGTTTCCAGGACATATAGCATTTGAGTTATCTCTCGACAAAGAAATGGATGAACAAAGTGATTACTGGTACTCTTTGAGGCTGGGCTCTTATGAACAAGCTGATGCTCAAAGTAGTTCTAAACAATTCAGTACATGTAAAAAAATTCAGTACAAACCTCTATTTGTTCCATATGCTTTGAATCTGGTTGTAGTTTATGGTTATTTGGTAGTTCACATAGCAACTCATCATCATCATGATTCTCCTGAAAGTATTTCATATCTGTTTACAAATTTACATGACCCTACTGCATATAGTTGCTGATTCTTTATAATAAACAAGCTGATGCTAAAAGTAATTTAAAGCAAGATAAGTTTGTGAAACAGTATGCCCCCAGCGTCAACAAATATAGAAAAGCTAGTTTTAGCAAAAAGATCAAGATCTAAAGGTTACTGACGTTGGTGTAATTTAAAAGAACTTAATTAGTGGATTATGTATACAAAATATGATCTCACAGTTCAAAAGTCATGGTAAAGGTTAAAGCTGACAACAGATAGACAGAAAGGACAAACAAAAATATGTTCATGCTCTTTGGGCATAATAATTCAGTACATGTAAAAATTTCAATACAAACCTTTATTTGTTCCACATTAATTGGATCTGCTTGTACTTCATGGTTATTTGTTAGTTCACATTGCAACTGATTATCATCATGATTCTCCTGAAAATATTTTAGACCTGTTTACAAACTTACTTGAGCCTATAGCATATATAGTGACTGGGATATGATATAAGACATTAAACTGGACAAAGGGGATACTCCAATTTAGTCTCACATTTTCAGAATTATCGTATTCAGAAATTGTGCCCAACCTGATCAAGGGCTTAGGAAGAATAGCACCCCACCCACTCCTTACTTTTTTGGGAAGTCAAAATTTCCTGTAGTTAAAATTTATAAATCCTGGTTCCCCTCCCCTCCACTTTAAGGGTCAGGAGCAAATTTTGAAACCAGAGTTGAGTCTGTTATCCTAGTTTCCCTTCCCCTTTTCAAATCAATATTAGCAACCTCAAGTTTTGTCATCTTGTTTTAGTGTAGCTGCAGAACTGTAGCTCTCCGAAAAAATATATATTGATAGACCTGAGATAATGAGGTATAGCGGGTATAGCTATGAATTTTTTATGAAATATTGTTTGAAATATTACTTATCAAAAGAACAGTAATATGCAGACATACACGATTGGAAATCTACCAATTTGACCTTATCAGTGATTGATGAATATGCTCTAAATAATAAAGTCTGAAATATCTGGCATTTTTCAGGTTTTTTTTTTAATACTTTCTGTGCCAGGAAAACGTCAGAACCAGCGCCATTACGAAAACTGGAAATTTCGCCATTTCCAGTCAGAGTTGATTTCCCATACCTGGGAACCGCATTAAATGCCGTTGTTACAATTTATCAATGGCACAATGCTTTTAGTACTTGACAATATCAATGAAAAGAAAATAATCACTCATCATTTCGACACAGGACTTGTATATTTTTTTTAATTTGTAAACGCACGAAATGAAAACAAATCTCGACAGTCAGAGAAAATGTTTCCATCGGATCATATTATATTTACAAACAAACCATAAAAACTATATTGGTAAGTACTAGAGGCATTGTACTATTGATAAATTGTGAGTTTGACAAGTAATTGCAAGTATCGAAAATACACCCGAGAATGCCGCCTCTGCTTGGAATTCCCAGTTTTCGTAAAGGCGCCGGTTATGGCGTTTTCCTCGCACGTAAAATACAGAAATAGTTAAAAAGCCAGGAAAACGTCAGATATTTCGGACTATGTATAGTACTTTTCAGTCACCTACAAACTCTTGATGCTGTCATGTCCTCTGTAACCGCACAAGACCTGCTTTATACATCTTTACATGGTGTTTTTCTTCGACGACTTCTGGATTCGTATGCATAAAAATTCTAAGAATTTTCTTAAGTATATACTTAAATTTCTTAAGCATATTCTTAGCTGAGTAACATGCTTAATTTCTGTTGCATAAAAATTCTAAGTAATATGCTTAGCAATTCTTAGCTAAGCATGTCGCAATCTGCTTAAGTATACCGTTGCCATGTCAATAAAGTCACTTCCGCTTTCACTTTCATGTAAACAATAAAAATAAAAATACATGAAAATGAATAAAATGTACTCCATTTCTAGCTGAATATAATTTTTGAATAATGGTATTGGTCTAAGTCTAATAATAAAAAAATAAATTGTATGATTCTGTGAAATCCCACGTGATTTGTAATCATCAATGCGATTATCGTCTGCTACATATCGCATTATCGATCTACATGAAAGGATGGCTGAGTGTTCAGAATCTTCTACGGTGAAAAAAAGAAAGCCAAATTGGACAACAGACGAGTGCCTGTATTTGAGCCGTCTTGTTGATGAGAACAAGGACGTCCTACGAGCAAAATTCGGGTCAGGAGTTACCACTGTCCGAAAAAGGGCGGCGTGGAAAAAAATTACAGATATGATTAATTCTACTTCTTCCACAAAGCGCTCTGTGGAGGAAGTAGAAAAGAAATGGCACAATGTTCAGATGAGAGGTAAAGCAGAACTCTCAGACGCACGTCGTTGCATTAAAATGACAGGTATGTTTTCCCTTTCTTTAAGATATGAGAGAGAGAGAGAGAGAGAGAGAGAGAGAGAGAGAGATCTATAAAGAGGGAGAATCTTTACATTCAAACTATGATAATGTACAATTACTTGTTACTGATGAGGCATACCTAGATGCAATTCTTTCATTGTTTACAGAATTTAAAAAATGGATTATCTCCCCTTTCATTACAAAAAAGGGAGAGTTGCAAACATGACGAGTGAAGAATTTAGATTGCATGAAAAAATTGATAGCTGAAAAAAACTTACTTTCCTTTCTGTATCTGTCCATACATAATCAGAGTAGTATATAAATAATAACTCCATATATGGAAACACAATCAAATTTGCCTAACATTCATTCATCACATCACTCAGGATCACAGCTAAGCGTCGTGTACTTGACGTCATTTCTAGTATTATTTATCCAGATACAGGGGCGGATCAATGAGTTATAAAGAGACTTTAAAAAAGAAAATTGCCAAATGCTTTGAAAAAAAAAAACGAATTTTGAATAAAAGGAAAAAAAACATTGATACATGTATTTTAATATGTCACATAGGATTGGCGTTGAAAGCAAATTGAAAGGGGGATATGGGGGTAGGCTTAATTGAAAAAGAGAAAAAACTTTACGAAGCAAAAATATAGGAAATGTGTTCAGTGTCCAAACACATAAATCTTATTTCTTGTGTGTGTGGAGTGGGGGTAGGATCAAAATTCTTTCAGTACCATATTTCTCAAACACTACTACTTGTAACCCTTTTTTGACCTACACTGCAACGTGTCTGCTTAAAGGGGGGGGGGGGTAAATTTACGCTACGATATTCAATGTCTTTGAAAAAAAAGGGGTGGCTAAGCCCCGGCTCCGACGCTTATGCACAGGTATCGGAAACAATATTTTCTATTTTCCTAAGGTCAGCGGAGTATACATATGATTACATGTATTTGTAGGCGGTGGACCAGCAGGGAAACCCCTCACCCCATTAGCAGAGGCTGTGGAGAATGTTATCGGTGCCGATAACTTCAGCATATCAGGAATCCCTGGCTCAATAGACACCACCTTCTTTATGCTTCCAGAAAGTGACCAAAATGGGGCGTGTTCATCGAATTCAATGTATGTGCAATAGTTTTTATATACACACGACGGTGGAAGTGGCGATATCTATGGCAAGCCAAATTCACAAAAATGAGCTAAACATAGTTTCACAATTGATAAACTAGGTTTATCGACTGTAAACTATAGTTTACAAAAGGTAAACTATAGTTAACGATTCGTTAACTACATGTAGTTAACGATTCGTTAAGTATAGTTTTCATCTGTAAAACTATATTTAAGGGTTGTTAACTATAGTTTACGAATGATAATCTAAGTTTATCTGTCTGTAATGAAACGTTAAATTGTTGATAAACATAGATTCACGTCTGTAAACTATAATTTACGATCGTTAAATATAGTTAAGAGTTGTTAATCATAGTTTCACAAATCGTGAAACTATATTTATCAGATCGTTAACTATAGTTTTTAAAATATTACAAAAGTCATTAAATGTAAAAAATTACTAGATAAAAATACATGTATTTATGTTGTGAAAAATTTAAATGAAGAAATGCAAAAGATTAAACAAATTTATTCTTGTGATTTTTAGGTCGAAAGTGAGTGAAACCGGTGGAGTGACACAGGATCTGCAAATATTAAGCACAAAGGAAAGCGGAGACGGGCATCAGCAGATCAATCTGGTTACTCTTCCAGCACAGAACGTCTCCAATGCATGCGGATGCAGCCTCGAAACGGTCGACCTACACAAGAAAAAAATAGAGCTAGAAATAGAAAATCTAACTCTCAGAAATAAACTTATCACAATACAATTAGCTAAAATGCAGGCTGATGATACGAATCAGTAGCTTGGACATAAACTGTCTTCATATTTGAGTTTATCAAATTTTCGCATTTTGATGAAGAATTACTATTATTAGCCTATTTAAAATAAACTACTGTATTTAATAATTATAAATTTGTAAAGTGTTGAAAATATATTTAATATTTAAAGTACTACGTAATATATATAATCTAGTTTCGCATAAAAAATAATACATCAAGTCGGGGCATTGGGTACATTTACCTAAATCATCCAGTTAGAGGAAATGAGTAACAACACATGTCGTACGTTATGGTTCCAAAGGACTGTCCAAATGTGGTCAGCATTGTCATTGTGGACCAACAAAGTTGTCGCTGTCTCTTGGGAATGACATACGCTGTTTTGGAATGTGCGTCATACATCAGACAACCCATTTCATAGTGGAATGTGACCATCAAGCTCTGAAACCCCTGTCGAATTTCAGAATGGGTGCCATATGGAACCTTCTTTTAGCCATTCTACAGGAGTTTAATTTTGATATTGTTTACAAGCCAGCACTGTGTGTACCTTTATTCAATTTGAAGAAAACAGTGCAGACAGTAAAATAGGGAATGTCTTCTTTCCCTACATTAAAGAGGAAACTGGACAAATTCATTTTCCGTGTGGGAAACCCCTGGGGGGGTCTGATCAACACTGGTCACAAAAAGCTTATATTTCTCAACTTGCACAAAACCTCATGTACATGTATCTATTATATAATTATGTACGAAATGCTACCTAATGCAGCACAAACATTTGTTTCTGTAATAAATTGTTATCCCTATGGAAAGCCATTTCCTAAATCACCATTGGAAAAACCAGAAAATCCCATGTAATGAGTGCATGTGATAGTGACACTGTTATTCAAAAAACAAAAGTGATATTGACACTGTTTAAATATTGCAACTAATGGACACTAAAATGTTTGTGCACCTTTGATCCCCCCCCCCAAACTTGGTGATAGTGATATTTTACCTTGATCATCAATGTAATTTTAAAAACATATATATATGATAAAACAATCAAAATCTCTTATACTGACCATCATACTGACACTGTGCTTCATGATAATTTTGGAACCCTTTTTAACTGTCCAATCGTGTTTCACAAAATTAGTGCTAGTGATATTAATGTCTGACACTGTGATTCAGGAATCAAGGAATACCGATGCTACAAGGTTTTAAAATTTAAAATTTGTAAAGTTAAAGTGATTTTCAAACAAAAGTGTCATAATGCATACTTCCTTATTAGAATTAAGGTTTCTTTTTGTTTTATGCGTATACATTTACGTGTAAAATTTTGCGCGATTTCTAAATTCGAGGTCGTTATTTCCTATGTCCTCTCTATCTCTCTGTTACTTAATAATTTTCAAGGCATTTCTATTTTAGTCAATTTAATTATTTGCAGCAAGAAAACTACCACTTTCACAGAAAGCTGCTCGAAAATTATCTAGTAGCCCCAGATTACCTAGTGACCGATGGTGTTTTATTTCACTCGCATAGCCAAAGCAAAGCGTACCAATATAACAACTATCAACTTGTCGTCCACTGCACTTATCAAAACACTACATTCTAATTGTACCACGAGTCAAAAAAGCTCATGGTGGCATTAATGACACCCTGGATCGCATCAAAGAACATTATTATTTTTCCAAGATGTCATATCATAAGTGATTTTGTGAAATCTTAATATTTGCCAAAATCGGAAAATGACCCAAGCAAAGACAAAGGCAAATATAGTGTCCTTTCCTACTCCAGGTAAATTTTGATGTGTGGCAAATTGATCTACAAGGACCACTACCTGTGTCTTATAAGGGATAATGCATACATATTTATATATATTTGTATGTTCAGCAAATTTTTGTTTGCTGTACCCATCCCAGCTAAGGACGCTTTTACTGTGTCAATCTGCCTTGTAAAAATCAGCTCTTTACTACATTTGGTGGATGCGACACCATACTCAGTGATCAAGGAACTGAATTTACCGCACAGGTAACAACAGAAGTTTGTAGAATGCTAGGCATATCTCAGCAATTTACTCCTAGTTTTGCACACCACTGTCTCGGTGCATGTGAAAGAATGCACAGAACACTAGAGGAACGACTTACTCCGTACATGGACAAACAGAGACGAAACTGGGACGAGAGGCTCTCATCCGTTGTGTTTGCCATTAATCAGAGCGTAAATTCTACTCTAGGATATTCCCCATTTGAGATAGTGTTTGGATACAGACCACGGTTTCCCCTGTCACCAGTGACCCTTAATTCTGACCTTCATACTTTACCGAAGGGGAGTCAGGAATACATGGATGCTTTTCTTGTATAAACTTTTTTGATCCGCACAGAAGTACGGAACAACATTGAGGCCAATAAGGATACTATGGTTACAAGAG